CAAGAGTTGCTAAATTTTAATTTTGATACAGGGATACTATCTAAATACAATGACCATCATTATATCAACAAAGAACATTAATATTAAAAAACTGAATTTCAATAAAAAGGTAGCTACTTTCAAAGAATACATATATATTCATAAGCCTTTTAGTGCAGAAAAAAATTCTCACAGATTTCAGATCTTAAGACACTTTTCTGTGATAAAGTACTACTGGCCAAAGCAGCTAAAGGAGAAAGTTAATTCAGGCCCACAGTTCAAGGTGTCAAGAGCTTAAAGCAGCTGTTACACCGCATTCATTCATAATCAGAAAGCAGAGCGGTAAACACCCACGGGTGCTTAGTTCCCTCAGTATGTTCATCTTAACAGCCCAAGACCCTGCCCAGGGAGTGGTCCCACTTGCAAGTAGGATGGGTGCTCCACTATCAACACAACCAAGCTGATCACCTACAGGCATGCCCAGAGGCCCATCTTCCAATGAGTTAGATTCTGTTAAACTGACACTAACCATCACAAGAGCTAAATGTGAAAACACCGAAGTATGATAAATTTGATATTAAAATAAAAAATTCTAAACCAGGTGTGGTGACAATCCTAGCACTTGGTGGGCTAACTTGAAGACTGCTATCAGTGTGAGGCCAGCCCAGGCTTCAGAGTAAGACTCTGTTTCAATCATTAAATAAATGAAATTATTGAATTAAAAATTGTTAGTAAAATGATATTCAAAGTAAAAGCCAATCTAAAGAGTGGAAGAAGGGCCGGGTGTTAGTGGCACACATCCTTTGGTCCCAGAACTCAGGAGGCAGAGGCAGGAAAGTCTCTGTGAGTTTGAGGCCAGAATGGTTTTAGAGCTAGTTCTGGAAAAGCTAGGGTTGTTACAGAGAAACCCCTGTCTCAAAAAACCAAGAAAAAAAAAGTGGAAGAAGGTATTTTTAAAACCCCAATCTGTTATGCAGAAAATAAAGTAAAACTAAGCAAAAAGAAAAATCATACAAAAAGAATACATATGTCCAACAAACAAATCAAACTATCACCAATAATACAAATAACTGGGAGATGTGAATGAAACTGGAATCAAAGTACCATTCCATCCTCCTCAGAATGGCAAAAACTAGTAAGTCTAGAGTATTAATAAGGTGGAAAAAAACCTATCAAATCCATTACTGGCACAACCACTCCAGACAAAAAAATGTCAATTACCTACTAAAGAGAAGCTCATTAATCTACTACTAGATTTATGGAGGAGAGTAATCTTTCTTACTGATGGCCTTCCCTGTATAATGAATAAGGAAGGCACCACTAACCCTAAGCCAGGGCAGAACATGTAATTGGGTGGCTTACAGTTCAGAGGCTCAGTCCATTATCATGGTGGGACATGGTGGCGTGCAGGCAGACATGGAGTTGGAGAAAGAGCTGAGAGATTTACATCTTGATATGCAGGAAGTGAACCGAGATTCTGGGCATGGCTTAAGCATTCATATGAGACCTCAAAGCAGGCCTCCACAGTGACACCCTTCCTCCAAGGCCACAGCTACTCCAACAAAGCCATACCTCCCAATAGTGCTGTTACCTATGAGCTTATGGGGGTCAATTACTTTCAAACTACCACACTCTCCTTAAAGTTCGGGCAAAACTAAATACAGTCTTCCCTTTTCACACAATATAACATTAATGTCATCATCTGTGCTAAAACAATACAACTAAACATTGAGTACATTTTCAGAAATATATGACATTGGAGTTGGTTTTGTTTTTCCTCCCTCTTCTCTCAGTGATTGTTCAGTAGAGCCGTTAAAACTCATGGGACTTGGATTCATTGGAGTGGTGTAGAGTCAGGGACTCATTGTGTATCCTCTGCTGGCTTTGAACTACTTGATCTGCTCACTAAGTCTAGCTCTACAGCATTATCTCCATACAAGTTGGCCATAGAACATTTGTTATGATATCGTTCGGTGAAAATGGAACAGAAATATTTGGAAAAATATGGATGAGTCTTGGCCAAATTGAGAAAACAAGAAAGATATAAACATTGTGCTTAAATAAACTTAGGGTCATCAAAATTAAATATATTTATGTATATGTGTGTATGTTCAGGGATCTAGATGGTGTTCATATGAACACCGACAGAAGGAGGCATTACAATTTAAGGTTAATGGTTGGCCTGGGAGAAAAATATTACTTGTGATATTTAAAAGGTATAAGGAAAGTATCCTTTTGATTTGCAGTTGTGTTTCCTCATTACATCTTATGTCACCACACTGATACTGCTATATTGTGACTTTACAGAGACTAAAGACATGGTATGGGTATAGACTTGTATGAAAGACTGCTTCAACACCAAGGACTGAAGATAAGTCAAAAGATTTGGGTTCAAGTCTCAGTTCTCACTAACTTTAGGCAATTTAAATGATTAATTTCTTCAGTCTTTACTTAATCTGTAAAAGTTTACAAGGCTGGGACAGACAAGGCAATGTATATGAGAGACTCCTAACGGTAAGAAAAGGAGACATTTTTTTTTGAGAATTACAGGAAAAATCGAAGTTAGTATAGAAGCAAAATCTACCAGTAAATAAATCAACAAAGTTAATAAACCCTACAGTTCATTGTTAACACTTGTTAGAACACCAACACAAACACACAAAAGTTCAAGTTTGCCAATTAGTACTCTTAAAAACTGAGCAGGTGGAACATCTTTAAATTTAAAAGAAATTTAAATTTTGTTATGTGTATCAATGTTTTTGTCTGCATGCACGCATATGCATGTATAGGCCCCATGTCCACGGAGATCAGAAGAGGGTGACAGATTCCCTGGAACTGGAGTTAGCAATGGTTATGAGCCACCATGTGGGTCCTGGGAAGGGAACACGGGCCCTCTGCAAGAGCAGCAAGTGCTCCTCCTTAGCAGGTGGCACATTTTATTAGTTTTAGATTACTGATGTAGAAACTGATTCAGACTAGAACAGCCTGCCTGGAGTTGTAGACCAATTTGGTGACAGAATAGAACACCAATTGCTTCATTCTACTGGGTTTATTATCTTGTCCTAGTACGTCATGGTGACTGTATGTGTTGGGGGTGGGGGGAGACCCTGCTTTTTCAGTTGTCATTTCATTCACATACAAAATGGGTGATGGCACCCAGGGAAACCAGCCACATATCAATCAGGGTATTGTACACCAGGGGACAAATTTAAAGCTGCCTAGCTTGCTGAAAATCTAATCCTATCCTTGCCAATTAACCTTATTAATACCGGAGTAGGAGAAAAGAGAGGTCAAAATATGGGTGTGATTGCTACCTCTTTCCTCCTAGATCTTAAGGAGTAAGAGCAGACAGAGATTTTTATCCATTTTCAACTTCCAAAACGACCTCACCGTTTTCCTTTCACCATGCCCCTTCTCCCAAAATAAAATTCAGTAACAAGCATGGACGCCGACAGTAACGGTGATGTTCAAAATACTGCACTGGCTACAAGTAGGTATTTCACCCAATTGAATTCATGCGACAAACGTATGGACACAAATGCTCGACAAAATAAGTGTTCGTTTACAGAAAATTCCCGTCAATATAAGCAAATGAATGCCATCACAAACCGCACTTGATGTTCTACTAAAGACTTAGTAGTTTCCAATGTTGCCCCAAGATATCCAAAATTCTTTTAATACACCGAAGGCTTGAAAAATGTAAATGAATCATCTTAGGAATCAAGCACTACGGACTGCACTAGGAATACCTTTCATAAACTAGGCAAAATTTAAAGGTCACCCTTTCCGCGCCCCGTTATTCTAATCTTTTCTCACCAAATCTGCTTCATTGTCTTAAATCAGAGTACCACTGGAATTAAATGTTCTGCCTTTGACAGAAAGCTCATCTCGATTAATGTTCTGAACCTTAAAAAAAAAAAAACAAAAAAAAAAACAACAAGAAGCCGAGGTTAAACTCTCCGAACATCTACCACACAACTTTTTTTTTTTGGTCCGGTATTAAATACAATTTCAAACAGGACTCTCCAACTTCTAATTCAAACCCAACCTCCTAGAGTTCTCAATCAAAGATGATACAAGTTCAAGCCATCGAAAGCAGCGCCCGCGACAGGCGGAGCGGGATAACCCGCTCAAGCTCCCGGAGGACTCCATCTAGTAAGATCGAGGTTGGCTGGACCCGGACATCGATCCGAGAGCGAGGGCCCACGAGTGGCCCAGATCCAGGGAGGGGAGCGGCGCCCGATCCCATCTTGCGGTCCTCCCTGCGGGAGAGGAGGCCCGG